AACAACAATGCGCAGCTCTTTTATGAAAGTCTTATATTTGCATTCCATGTTAGACCCTTTATGTTGCGCTAATATGGGTTCCTAGAAAGTTGCAGATGTATGTACTAGTTCAAAAACACCACTGAGGCGTGAATGTTGGCGTAGAAGATAAGATGTTAGCGACAATCACTGCAGTGGTAAACTATGCCCCAAAATAAAAGTCCATTGCGTTTTTCGGGCTCCATAGCAGGCTTGATCATGTCCTTCGCGGGGACTTCATTCTTTTTCTAAGTGCTGAATCGCGAGTAGTTTATAATTGAAGCAGTTGTTTGACTAATAGCGCATAAGTGTGCTCCATAACTAACAGACATTCTATATGAGGAAGTTTCCGAACGCGATCTTGGGAGTAGCGGTACTTCCCACGTGTACATAAGCATATCATCAAACAATAGTTGAAATACTTACACTTGCGCACATTCACACATTTTACATCTTCGGAGAACCCACGTGTCTGCTTGACCATAGATCACGACACAATGCCTGTTAGACTTTTTTTTCGCCACATCTCATCATTTTTTTCCTTTTAAGGGCAATTTTAACGCGTCATTTCCAATGCGCCTTGAACTATCAGCCTTTCGCAAGCAATACAATATTTCGCAAATGTTTTAATGCCTTTGACTTGAGTGTGTAATCGTCGTTATATATGTTGTTGTAAGGACTGACTCTTTCTTCTCGATGACTGATAAACTCGTTCCCAAGGACTCGATCGTTCCAATAAGAAGCTGTGATGTAACGGCTGATGAACGTAATACCATCTGTCATTCCTCGGATTCGGTGGTAGCATTACATGTGAAAAAGAATTAAATGACTTGGAAAACTACTAAGGGATCGAAGCTCTCATTACGAAAAGTTTTAGTTATTTTACAACTAGTTAGCAATAGAATGAAAAATTCTAACATTCCAGTTTTTACGCATTCAGCTCTACAATTACCTGATTTTGCACAAAGAGAAGCTTTTGGGCTGTCTATCTATATAGAAGAACATTTTAGTCCAGCCGATGGTTATCAATCCCATGGATATATGTCAAATGGGTCCGCCTGATGGGAGATTTTGCGGATTCAAGGTTATGTACACATATAATAAGGTCAGTCCATTTAAAATGAGTTTACAAACATCAAATTCAAAGATCTAAAGGCAGGGTCCCTTGTTTTTTCAAATTATAGACAGCACATCATGAAAAATTTCCAGGAAACCTATCAATGTGACGAATTCTGGTTCCCCGGATGCACTACGGCTGACACAAATGCAAATCTTTTCAGTGATTACAACTCTTGCGATAAACTTGCCGAAATGTGTAGGCGATGTAAGTCCTTGTCCATGTGCCTCTTTTCCATTTTTATTTTTTTAAAAAATTTTCCTATGATAAGATAAGCCGTGTATTGAAGACTTTCTAGCACTGATCGCGCGCACGATTGAATCTCAGCATTTTTGTCAGTTTCGCCCTAAAATTTTTCAGATACACTTGAAGAGAAAATTAGATGAAACAGTTATTACAGTTTTTCAGCTTCGATCACTACAACCCCTTCACCTACACCAGCTCCGTTCACATTCTTCCCTCCACCGCCATCAACCACATCCTCACCATCTCCGTTCACATTCTTCCCCCCACCACCGTCGACCACTTCTATGCCAACCACTAGCTGGTCACCACAGCCACCACCTACTTCTCCTATACCAGGCCTTGGGTTTTTGGGTGAAAAGCGAAGGCCAGGGCCTAGGGGCCGCTTCATTGGAGGAGGAGGTGGTATGGGAGGCGGAGCGGGAGGAATGGGTGGAGGGGGGATGGGAAGTGGCGGAGGTCCTTTTGGGACATTTCCTGGATTGGGAAGTGGTTAGTTGAATGTTATTTTCGGCTGAGGAAGTATTCAGGGGTTTAACGACTCTTAATTTTAGCCCTGGGTGGTCCTTCACCAACTATAACTGCCGGTAATGGGGATGAACAAGATCTTGGTCTGTTGGGACTTATTCAACAAGGGCTCCAGAATGCACAGGCTATTCGGAAAGGAGGCCCTGAAGGGAAACAGGTGCTGTTTTGATAAATGCCTAGAATGGATCATTAATTTCAATTTTATAATTATAGGCCGCTGCAGCTGCTGCTGGCCAAATCCTTCAGCAATTCACTGGCTTCGATCTCAACAATCTGGGTGGAAATTTCGGGAACATATTCGGCGGATAACATAGAATCTTTACCTTTGTAACATAACGTATATGTACTATAGAATGACTCTGTCAGGCATTTAACCGGACAACTTTTAAATCACGGGGTATTTATGCTCATTTCAATGAGTATAAACGAGCGACTTCGAGTTGCTTTTTTATAGCTTTGTTCTTAGTACAGAATATTCATAGAGGTTTTCTTTATAAAAATCCTGTCTTTCTACAGTTCTTTCTCAATCTGGTCTCCGCTGCCTTTCCGTTTGTACAAGTCCCAATGATAAGTTTTTTTTTTTATTAATTGTACTTTTTTAGTCTCATATCCATGAAATTGTTTTTGAGTAATCTTGTGTTTAGTTGATAAACTGATTTTCTTGCATCACAGTGCAAAGAGGAAAACTTAATCCTCCGTTTTTCTGAATAGATAGACATAGTTTTACTACCACAATGTTTATGATATGGTTTTCATTTTTTTCATTATGAAAGCAGTTGTGATGTCTCCTCTTCAAAATCTGTACTTAAAAAAGTTCCGCTTACCTTAAAAGACGCGAATTTCCTTTTGGTTGTCCCATTACATCTGTTGTAGAGTTACCTCCGGAACGGAAGGCACTTTGGTTGGAAATCATGTAATTGCACCTACGTTGCACCTGCATTTTGGCGTAGAAGACTAGGACGGATATTACCAGGATCTTCTATC